AGTCCCTCCGGCCGCCAAGGGTCATCGCTGCCCGCCCCCGAGAGAGCCTGCTCGTACCTGTCCCCGCGGGCCGTCCCGCGACAGAGACCCAGTGGCGCACTGTGGCATGTTTCCCTCCGACACCGGCAACTGTGCGGCCGGCCGGGAGCCACTTACTTATATGATGGCTTTTCCGCTGGCTCGTGTTGCTAAATAAACACGGTGTGTTTGTTTTGGATGGGCCCTCTCTCCGCACCAGAGGTTACCAGCGTGATGGGGTTGGGAGACAAAAAGGCCATTGCTCTGTTGTCCTTTTTTGTCCCCGCATGGGTGTTCGTAACAGCGTCATCACCGGAGCCAGCGCGATGTTCCTGGGAGTAAGCGTGTCTCTGGCAGTCAGTGCCAGTTCTCTGAAGTCCACACAGGTTCATCAGTACAGACCATTATTTGTCAATTGAGTAACAGCTCCTACAATGCCAGCTCAGCACGTGTCCCAGCCCTGGGGCTTAACTTATCCTAAACTCCAAGAGTTCTGGCAACTTTTGCTTGCACCACATCATACAGTAACAAAATAAAGCCCATGTGCAATGTTGTGGGGCCTTCACAACAGCTGTGATGCAGAAACACATGCTATTATGAGTTTCATCATTTAAGTACATGTTGTTCAACCCTTTTTAGAGAAGTTCAGCATGAATGTGGGAAATCTTATTTCTCTGAAACAGCAGAAGTCAGAGGTTCAGTTCAGAATGGTGGCTTCTCTGTTAAACTCACGTAAGGAGAAAAACTCTTCTGCTTATAGCTGTCTCCACCAGAACATAAATAAAAGTTTGTTAATGGATTTGTATTAGACTGTGATTTTCTATAGCTGCTTTTTTCTAGACCTCTTCAAACAACAAGCTTCCATGATATATATTCATGATGGAGGTATGTGATCATAATTACCTCCATCAATACCAAAGTAACACAATGCAGCTTATTGAGCAGCTCTTTATATGCAAATACTTCATACCCAGGAATCTGCGATGGCCCTGTGCTTGGTCTCCATTAGAACATGCCCCATCACAAGCAAGGCTTCATGATTCCATATATGAGTATCATACTGGTTATCAAAATTAATTTTGATGAGTAATTAAGCCAGGAAAGCAGCAGAGCCTGCTCCTGCCTGGGAGGTGCAGACCCTGCTGCCCTGCGTATCCTGGCTCACCAGTGCAGGCCACACACACGTGAACACAGGCACAGCTCCTGCTGCTCCACGCCCTGTGAGCTGCTCTAGCAGTCCAAATCCTCTCACCATTAACATGTGCAACTTCTCTTTGGCTGCATGATCTGTCAGCGTCACGCTCTAATATCTAGGTGCTACGTGGCCTGGCCTGACACCCCGACGCAGGTGCTCTTAACTGCCCCATTCTAACTCTTGTTCAGTCTCCCACCAACTCTGAGTCTGTCCAGCTTCATCACCTATAATCACACAGCAGCAAAGCAGTAACACCTGCTAAGAAGCCCAGCTTTACATCAAAAAACCTTGTTCTAAGTGTAGATGTTTGGCTTGTGGGCTGTCACATCCCAGCAGAGTAAAAAGGATGTCCCAACTTCCACTGCTGAGAGGTCAGTCCTTTGCTGCCAAATAAGGTCCACTGACACACAGACCACTTACAGGCAAAAGGGATTTGGAGAGAAATTCTCTTAAGAGAAAAACAATTTATTCAACAATAAATGAAAAATCCTCTTAGACTCAATTTAAAAGAAAGGCAGGGGGAGACTGCTGCTTTCATCCCGCAGCCATCACTTCACACCCTCAAGCTTGAGAGTCCAGCCAGACTGAGGAGGTAGAGGAGATGGAAGCATGTAAGGCAAAGTTATGAGAAGTCCTTTACCTGGGGACTTCTGCCACTTCAGAGTCCCGGCAAAACCCAACATGGTCACCTGCAGAGGAGGGCAGGGGAAACACTCAGTTGTAGCTCACATAGGTACTTCCAGTTGGAACACCCCACTACACCCAAAACACGTTTGCAGCCTCTGTACACCATTTCCCACAGATTCAAAGCAGTCCTGCACATTTCCACCCATCACTCACAGCACACAACAGGTAACACACTGGATATTTTGGGGTCAAACATGTGACTGTATTTGTTGTTTTTGTTTGTTTTTTGTTTTTTTACTGAGAAGGCTTTACCTCTGTTTGTTTAGAGCAAAGGGCACTCTAGCATTTGCGTCACTCAAAATTACATTTACAATTAGCGGGTCAGTGTACCTGATTTGAATTTGAGATACAATACCAGTGATCCCTTGTATCTGTGAGGCTTGTTATTTACTTCACCTCCCTGTGTCAATAGGATCAAAAGACTTGGGAGGAGAAGTATCTCTGCCTATTCTATGGCAGACCATGAGCCTATCCTGGCAAGTCCTATCCAATGTTCTGTGTTAACAGTGAGCTAAAGCCCGGAGAACAACCTGGGATGCTGCAAGGAACCAGAGGGAGGATCTGGATCAGAGCACCCCAGAACAAGAAGTATGGCATGACAACTGCCACACTCTCCCCAGTCCCCAGATGAAGTCAGCTTGGACCTTCCCAGCCCACGTGCGCCCAAGATGGTCTCTCAGAGTGAGTTATCTTTTTTTCAAGTTCCTTACGTGTGTGGCTGGGGATGGAGAAGGCGAGGACAGCTCCAAAATATTTTCCCGAGGCCAGATCAGAAAGATGGCATAGACAACTGGTCCCTTAGACGTGTACCTAAGAGAGCAGAAGTTCAGCAAGGTGAAGAGCCCCGTAAGAGAGAATGAGACATGAGTTTGACCTTTCCAGACAGCACGAGAGCACCAGATTACCTACTGCCACTGTACAGGGGTCACCTATTTTCCCCTCATTCCAAAATCTGTCACTTTGGACCCACCATTTAGCCAGTCAGCACTGGCTGATGAAACCCAAACAAAGTCCGTGTGTGCTTCTTAAAAGCAAATGTCATTTGCTGATCTGTCCTTGCCTCAGCTTGTGGTCAACAGAGCGGATACGCTGCCTTATCCTGACCATTGCTCTGAATTTCTAGACTGAACACAACTGGGGAAAAAAAACCAACTCTGTTTTGTAGCATTTCTGGCTCTTGACTCACTACGCCCTTCTCAGTAGGTATAAAAACAGTTGGGTAACAGTTATTAGTACTATTATGTAACAGCTTAAAAGCAAGTATCGCTACATTAACAAACTGTATGTGTTTAGATAACTACATTTGTGCAATTCAAACTAGCCAGGACCACTACTTAAACAGTCCTGACAGCAGCAGCGTGGAAATTTTTTTAAAGGAAGAGTTGTTTTTTCCCAAATCAAGCAAGGATGAAGCCTTTATTTTTATTCTCTTCTTTCAAGCAAGATATTCCTTAGATAACACCATGGGGCAGTAACTGACCACTCCAGTTGCAGGATATTACCTAAATGCCATCTGCACCTGATGGCAACACTTCAAAGAGTACCAAATTTAAGAACAAATAAGAAAGAAACATCAGCTCCAGATGTCCCAGACCAGATAGTACTAAGCAACTAGGAGTCCTTACCAGACCGTGTCTGTGTTGTTCTCCATCTGTACTCTCCATGGCTGCGATTCATAAATTGCCTCCCCGTTAGTGTCCAGCCACCTCCCAAGGGCCAGAAGTCTTTCTTGGAAGATGGGAACAATCACCCCCTCTTTTGTAGGTCCCACATTGAGAAGGTAGTTGCCTCCAAAACTCACAGTCTGCACTAGCTCCTGTGACAGATAAACCAAAGTAACAAATTGAATTATCTTCACATCTAACAACAAAGAAATCTGAGGAATTCTTTGTCCTCATCAATTGCTCCTCTAACTCCAGCCTGATTGTATGAAACACCGGACAACTCATTCTGCAAGTAGGAGGATGAAGGAAACCTCTAATTCTCAGTAACCCCCCCACCTGTTATTTTGATTTCAGATTTCTTACCTCAGTGATGCTTGCTTCATCCATTAACTCAGCAATATTCATGTTGCTTCGATAGCCCCAAGAAAGCTTGTCAATGGAGGAGCACATCTCCCACTTGTGAGTTGGCAGGGTCCCTGGCTTGTATTTGTCAGCACAATTGTAGTAGCCTCCATGATGGCAAGAGCAGTTATTACACCAACGATCATTAACGACAACAGTGTCCTGAAAGAAGAAACTCAGCTCAGTAGGCAGAATGTTTTGTCTTGGACTTTTCAGCTTGCATTCATCCCTCCTGAGTTAGCAAAGGCACCTAAGTTAGGAGGTGAGCACCCAAAATCCCCTGTGTAATCAGTGGAAAGAGAGAGAGGATCCTCCAGAGAAGGCTGACTCTCTCTTGGGGACAACCTCTCTATTCACTCAGGTAGAAGTTGAGGCAGCAAGGTTCCTGGCCTCTGAGCTTCCTGCATGTGTGCTGTAAAGGACACTAGAGTCTTCTCACAGGAGCACAGTGTGAGCTTCTTAGTTTTTGTGAAAGAATAAAGCACATCTGGCATCTGCCAAGCAGGTTTCTGATTTGATCAGATCCATATCTCACTGCTGCAAGACCCTCCACACCCATAAAATGCTAGAGGCCATGAGGGATAGCTGAAAGTGATACCTTGACAGGACTATCGTTATAAAGCCAGGCAAGGAAAGAGGTAGAATTCCAGTACGACTCCGGAGCTTCCCAGTCTCCATCCGACCAAATCAAATCTGGTTTATATCTAACAGAGAGATGAATGTTATTTCAAAATGGTTTATTTTCTCCTACCACAAAGGAAGCACTGTGTTTCTTGAGTCTGGAGTCTAGCTTCACTTCCTCTTCCTATTGCCTGATGTTACCAGGAGGTTTATGCTATCACTTTCTGCTTCAGACAAAGCTTTAATTGAGGTTCTTGCAGCAGCAAAGAACGATGTGTTGATCATGGTTCAAGAAAGGAAGCAATTCTTCCGAAAAAACAGAAAATTGCATCTCAAAGGCAATTACGAGGCACATTCTCGACCTGGGACAACGGCCATGCTGAGCAACATGTGTCCAAGCCTCATAGTTTTGTCAAGAAAGGGAAGCAAGGCAAGGATGTAAATTCACGGTGAAATTGCCTTTCTATTCTACTACATACTAAGCAGCTTGCTTTGCTTTCAAAGCCACTCTGCCCAAAAGTAGTATTAAAGGGAATTGCTCTTGCATGAAAAAATTGTCTCTATCTTATTCTGCAAGCTAGACTGTGCACAGGGCAAATGTGAACTCCTTTTCTGATTATCGCAAATCATCACCAATAAGTAAACAGATTTGCCTTGGCAAAAATTAACATTTCCCACCTCTCTTCTCTGTATCCACTTTGCATCTTTCTCTACAGTAGTGAAACCAGGAAATGCTCTCAATTCCTAACTGGTTGCAGTTCTTACTTTAAGACAAGATCATAAAGTTCTGGCATTGCCTTCTTTAAAACGAAGTTCTGGGTCTTGAAGCCACTTTCTTTGTCAGCTAGATAGAGTGGATTAAACCACTCTAACAGAGAGTGATACAGTCCATAGCGTATGTTGCTGAAGGACAGAAAACACAGAGAAAAGAGTTAGGCTGGCAGTAGGGATTAAGAACCAGTGGCAAAATAGATTACTGGCATTATTATTTCACAGAATATTTAATGACTTTGCAAGCACTACTTTTTGCATATTAAACTCATTGTTTTCCGCTCTTTGTCAAGAACAGTCAGGAGAATTCGATGCACAAAGATGAAAGGAACAGCACAGTTTGGCAGTGCCGTACCTCTCCCTGAGGGCTTGTCCCAGCTCTCCTACAAGATCTCGGTGGGGCCCCGTATCCAGAGAATTCCAGTTCCAGGACACAGGCGACCCCCAGTTGGTGAAGCCTTCATGATGCTTCGTGGTCAGTACCACGTACCTGAGGGGAAAAAAAGTGCTGGATCAGGATGACAAAGGAACGACTAAAATGCTGCCCAGTCTCACTAGCAAAACCTGTCACTATGAAAGCAAGGGACTGAATAACCATGCCGTGGGGAGCCCTCTTTCATTATCTTTTCCATTTAGAAGCAACTATAAGAATAATAGAAGTTTTTAATAGGCTTTTATGCTGGAAAAGAATGAACAATTGAGACTTGGGAAGTAGCAAGACCTGTCACCTGCTCAGCACCCTGGGCATGACCCCTCAGGGATCTCCAGCACTGCTCAGGGACCCCTAATCCTCCAGACTTTGCCCTTCCATCCCCTCAGGGACTCCTGCGTCCTCCTGGGGACCGCAGGCACAGCTCCCCCATCCTCTCCGGGCCTTTCTGTCCCCTCAGAGACCCCCAGACATGGCTCCCCCATCCCCTCAGTGACCAGGGCCCCTATCCCCTCACAGATCCCCAGAAACGGCTCCCCCATACCCTCAGGGACCCCTGGGCATGGCACTCATCCCCTCTGGAACCCGCCATCCCCTCAGGGACCTC